TACTATATGGGGGACGAATTACTATGGGGGACGAATTACTATGGGGGACGAATTACTATATGGGGGATGAATTACTATGGGGGATGAATTACTATATGGGGGATGAATTACTATATGGGGGATGAATTACTATATGGGGGATAAATTACTATATGGGGGATTAATTACTATGCTTACTATGGGGGAATATTACTATACTTACTATGGATGACACATACACATCATTCATCTACTCTTGGTCCGGCCCCCGGGTCCAATATATGAACCCATTGCAGCCCTCAAGTCAAAAAGTTTGCCCACCCCTGGTATAGATAATGGAATTTAGGCAGCTATGATGCTATACTGGTAATGGTGATCAGTGACTTATAGTAGGACTGTGATAGTGTGGTGGCCAATCTGGCGCCAGCTGACGCTGGCTGGGAGGTACACTAAGGCTAGGTTCACATATGTGCGGGTGGTACTGCTGCAGATCCGCACGAAAATCCGTGCAGCCGTACCACCCGCACAGAGAAATGCAGATCCGTGGGTGGGTGCCATTAGTTCTAATGGCACTTGGCCCGCACTGGAAAATACAACCGTACTGGGAACCGAGGTTCCCGTGTGGGCTGCGTTTTCGGAAGAAGTGCAGGGTCCTCTTCTCTGCACGTCACGGGGCACGGGAGTCCATTCAAATGAATGGACTCTCGTGTTCGTACAAAATGCGGCACTCATGGCCGCATGTATGTGAATCGGGGCTCACTGACTAACACTGACATCGATAGTGATATTAATACAGAGATCAGTACTAATACTGTACTAATGACACTGGCTGGGAAGGGGATTAACATCAAGGGGCAATCAAAGGATTGCATGCCTAACAAGTGCAATGTGTGCTGCTTTTATTTACAGATGCGGTTGTTTTTTTTTCCTGCTTTGCAGGGAGAAAAAACAGCCAGATTGCTAATTTGTGTACAAGGCTTTGTGATGTGATGTGATTGGCTACAGCTGATTAGCAGGTCTCAGCCATAAATCATTGGCCAGGACCTGCTGAAACAGGGGAACAGCGGCTACAGGGCAAGGTGGGGTATGAGTGCCTGTGATCATTCCAGTAGTAGCCGGTAGGCAGGTGAGCTGCAGGGCAGGCTGAAGGCAGGGAGCAGGATCCGGATGCAGCCGTACTGGATGGATGGATCACTGAGGAGTGAGTTTAAGGATGCAGGGTCAGACAAGCCGGTCTCTGTAGCAGTCGGGTAGATCAGGCATAGACGGCAAGAGGAAGTGTTGTCAGGTCACAGGCCAAGTCAGCAGCGGAAGATCAATCAGACATGAGCAGAGACAGAAGGGTAATCCAAGGCAAGCCAGAGGTCAGGGCAGGTAGCGGTCAAGCGGAGGTTAGGAACAAGCTGGTTCGGTATCAGGAGTCAATCACAGAAATAGGAAACACAAGCAGGGATAAGACCAAACAGCAATGAGACATTACTGCAGCCAGTTTAAATAGTCATTTTGCCGCCAGTATTAGTGACAGGCGCGTGCCGCGATGCGTGAGTGCACGTGCGTGCTCCTATGCCCAAGCACTCGTACATCTGCCCGGTTCGTCATAGTTCTGCATATGCGCATATTTGTGCACTGCAGATCTTCGCCTGAACTATGGGCAGGCCTTTCCTGACACTCACTGTGGAACCTAAGGGGTTAATCCTCTGCATTATGTAAAAAAGGCTGTTTGATCCTGACTTCTCTGCCCCTCCTCTTACTAAAAAGTCCACAGTGATAAGACAGACTGAACCCGTGCCCTTCTGCACATGCTCAGTTTAGTGTGTATTGCTAGAGAGGTTTTTTGTTTTCTAGGGAGAGTGCATGTGATCAGCACAGGGCCAATCAAGACAGAGGTCAGGGGTTTTACATCCTCCTAGAGCAGAAAGAAAACTCCTACACGCTTTAACCAGTGCTCTGCTGAAGTCACAAGACTGCTCTGACTGCTGATGAGAAAAGGTATTTAGCGGTTTATATTTACTAAAATATTTGCATTTCCATGTTCTGTGTACTGTGTGAGACCAGAAATAGTGAATGCAGGGTCTTACGTTTAGGAACACTTTAAGCAAAAAAGATAATGCTGTGAAGAAGGGTGCCAGAGGATAATAATGTAGATGTTGCTCCTTCTTCTGACTCCCATCTTGATCTAAAGACATAAGTGTTTTTCCAGCTTAGTGACTTGGAACAAGTATGCAGAAAATGACCTACTTGTGTGCACTTGTGCTGCAGGTGAGTGACACGGTAAATATGGAAGCCATTGGATTAGCATAACAACCCGACGCCTTGTATCTTCAGTACAAGTATCTTTTAACATTTCCCTTCCAAAGTGCACTATAACTGTCCTAATAAGTCCTCGGCTATCATTGTCTACAACCCTACGTAAAGCTCAGAAGCTAATGGCCCCCATACACTAGACGAAAAAAATTGTTCGCAAATCTGTCATTTGGACCGTTCGTTCTTTTGTCCAGGTAGTGGGCACGAATAGAAAATCGTTTTTGACTTTTCAGACGGATTTGCAAACTTCTGCTGAACAAAGAATAAATGGAAAGGTTGATGTGCCTCTTGCCCCTTAAAAATCAAACTGTTCAAACTGTGCATATGTGACAAAACAAAAAAAATGATTCATTTATGTCCATTAATTCATTTATCTTTTTATATTTCAATATTTTTATTGAGAAACCAGCACATTATGACATAAAACAAGATGGCAAACAACAAAAAAAGGAAAAAAAAGGGGGGGGGGAGCAAGATGTAAAGCCAGAATCATAACACTTATAGGTATGTAAAAAAAAAAAAAAATTATCAGACAATAGCATTACAATTCACACAAAAAGTGTCATAGCCATCAGGACATACAGGTTTCATAAATCAATAAACAATAATTAAACCAAAATGAACCAAAAGTGACAGAGAGAAAACAGAAACAAAACATTTTTCAACGAATAGAGTAGGAAAAGAGAGGAAGAGAGAGACGAAGAAGAAATTACTCCCAAGAGAAAAAAAACCAAAACAAGAGGGGGGGGGAGGGGTCAGTGTTAATCGAAATCTTCGATAGGACATGGGCCGCAGCCCGCCAGGTATCTAAATCTAATGAGCTATTTAAATCCCGTTCCCAGAGAGTCATGTAAGATAATTTAGTGAGGGGATCAACCAACAAAGCATAAACAATGGACAAGCGACCTCGCATCATCCCACTTGCCCCACAGGAGACCTCAAGAGGAGTAAGCGCACAAGGTTCTGTGAGTAGTCTAAGCTTGCTATCAATAAAAGAGCGAAGTTGATGATAACGGAATATTTCTCCACGAGGCATCTTATAAGAAGTCACAAAATACTGAGGAGACCGAGGGCGAACCCCATCTAAATAATCCCTAATATGTAACAACCCTTATTAATCCACCATTGGAACCTCGCGAAAGATAGACCCGGGGCAAACTCAGGATTACCAACACCGGGGCCAACGGGGTATGCGGAGAGAAGAAAGGTTTACGAGCTCGCCATCTATCCCACACTGACAATGAATAGGATAGAGTAGGACACAAAATAGGAGGGCGCAATCTACTGGGAAGCCACATAAGAGTACCAATAGCATATGGACGGCACGAAAGAGCCTCTATCCCAACCCATTGGGGGACATATCCCCATAGTACAAGATAGCTGTGCTATTTGGGCCGCCTGAAACCATTTATTTTTTAAATTCGGTCATTACATCATGGCACTATCGCTTGCTCTCATAACCGAGTGATCATTATTCGAAAATGGGTTTGAATGATTTTTCGGGCTTATGGCCCTTACACACGATAAGAAAATCGTACGATAAATTTAGCGGAACCACTGATCAAATGATTTTCTCTTCATTGATGAGCAGGATGTTTTAACAGATAACGATATTGTGAACGAAAAAATCTGGTTGAACAACAGCGAAAAATGTTGTCGCTTCGCATACGAACTATCGATTTTCTATGCGGTGGTATGACGGTCGTACGAAAAAAATCTATCAAGCGCTATCATGCATGAGTGGAAACAAAAGAAGACTCAGATGTTTATGTCCAAGGAATCTTCGTAAACACAAATGAAAAATCCAAATGTTAAAAGTAGATTGGCCTAATGAGATAATGAAACCAAAATTCTGCATATTATATTTTATGTATCACTATTTTTATGTATATATGTAATGTAATAAACTACATTATACTCATTGCTGTTAATTGTGTATATCGCTCGTTCTGGCTGGAAGGGCGTGGCTACAAGGTAACACGCACACTGCATCACTTCTACCTGTATGGAAGACGTCAACACCATGTATTGCCCCATGAACGATTTTTTTAGATTGGTTAATGTGGGCCACGATTTCGACCAACGGAAAAAACGCCTCTCGGTCGTCAGATGATTGATCGGTCGATTTTCTAATCGTGTATTCCCACCTTATGTGAATGGTTAGCTTTAGATTTCAACCTGATAGTGCATAAACTATGTTTCTACATGTGATTAGTGGAGACAACACACATAGTAAGAGGACACCAGACTGACTATATTAGTACTTGCGTTTGTACTATTGCAGTAAAAAAACCTAAATACTAGCATTTAAATCTGAACTCCAGCCTCATCTTCAGTTTTAATGGCTCCTCTCCTGTACTGTAACTCTAATTATGTCTCTGTCTCTGCACACTGTGAGTGCCTCACAGTGTGCATTAAAAATCTGCAGCTATTCAGAGAGAGCCTTCCTTATTTCCTGGCTTGGGGACATCAATGGTTATTTAGCCATTTTCGCCTTCGCTAGGGCAGTCTGCATACAAATGTATTCTTCTGAGAACGTCCACTCCTTCAGACTGATATCAACCCATCAAGGTATTTTGATATATGCATCAGGATTGAGGGCACTCTAGAAGAGTATTGAAGCAGGGTGAAGTGATCATTTCAGGAGGCACAGAGTTCCAGTTGTGATGTCACTGGGTCTGAACTAAGGTATATAATGAAAACAGGTTTTTTATTAAAATCAATAAATTGTTACTATACCCAGGACCTTGCATTCACTATATCTGGCCTCCCACAGTACATAGAACATGGAAATGCAATTATTATAGTAAATATAAACTGCTAAATACGTTTTCTCATCAGCAGTTAGAGCAGTCTTGTGACTTCTATCAGTGTTCAGCAGAGCGCTGGTTTAAAGCTTGTAGGAAGAGTTTCCATTCTGCTCTAGGAGGATGCAGGACCCCTGCCCTCTGTCTGGACAGTGATGATTGGTCCTGTGCTGATCACATGCACTCTCCCAAGAAAAAAAAAAAAACCTCTCTAGCAATACACACCAAACTCGGTGACACCACATGCTATGTCTTATCAGGAGATAAGAGGGGGGACACTGGAAGAAGGGAAGGATCTGAGAAGACAGGATCAAACATAATTTTTATACAATGCAGAGGATTAACCCCTTAGGTTCCACAGTGAGTATAACAAGCATGCTTTACTGCATATACAGACTGATTTTACTGTTGTGGGTTTAGTAACACTTTAAGCAAACAGCATTTTGTGCAGCAGGGAGTAGGGACAGCAAAATATAAACAGATTAGACTTCAGCTTTAGGCCTCATACATACATGGAATAGTGCTGGCGCACAAGTCCTCTAGTCAGTTCATTGCCCCCACTATGACATAAAGGGATGGGGAGAGAGAGCTAAAAAGAGAGACCCTGCTGCTAAATCCGGCAGAGGGTTCTCGGTAGTTCCAGAACAGTACACACTTCAAGGCTGGCCTTACGGGAAGGAGCAGAAGCAGATCTCCGGATGAGCATGTAAAAAGAAAACGGAGAAGGTGCCACTAAGTGTAGACTGTAAAACACTTTATTACAAGATGATAAAAATTGCACACTCATTTTGAGAGATATAGATAGGCACATCTTTGGTGTATGGCAATCTTCCAGGGCAGATGTGGACATGCTGCAGGTAAGTCCTATGCAGAAGCCGGATCTTGAAACAAGTTTGAAGCAAAGCTAACACAGCAAAACGCATACGCAAAAACACTGCAAAACGCGTATGCAAAACTTCCTACAGCTAAAGCTACTGGTGCTTTTCTAACATCCAGTGTGCATGAGGCCGTAACCTCTTCCCGCCAGTTGTACGCATATTTGTGAGGCTTTATTTCATGCTGCCACGTATATGTGTCACTGTTTTGTGCTAATAGCATACTCACTGGTTCACTCTCAGCACTGTGGTGGTACTGTCACTGATAGCTCCTGGCCACACAGTGGTGAGCTAGAGTGGGTTCTCAATCATGTGATCACTATGACAGCCAATCCCAAGCCTGACTGTCCTTGACTCCCCTGTTAGTCATTGGATTTCAGTTCGATCATGGAGGCTCAACATTACACTCACTGGCCACTTTATTAGGTACACCTTGCTAGTGCCAAGAAAATATCTCCCACACCATTACACCACCACCAGCCTGAACCATTGATACAAGGCAGGATGGATCCATGTTTTCATGTTGTTTACACCAAATTCTGACCCTACTATCTGAATGTTGCAGCTAAACCAGTCTGCCCATTCTCCTCTGACATCAACAAGGCATTTTTGTCCACACAGCTGCAGCTCACTGGATATTTTCCCTTTTTCAGACCATTTTCTGTAAACTCCAGAGATGGTTGTGCATGAAAATCCCAGTAGATCAGCGGTTTTTTAAATACTCAGACCAGCCCGCCTGGCACCAACAACCATGCCATGTTCAAAGTCACTTAACCACTTGCCGCCCTGCCACTGCATATATACGTGTGCAGGGCGGCACTGGGGCACAAAACCACGTTTTAAAACGGGCTCCGCACTCCCGAGGGTTTCGCCAGCAGGGGGAGCGCGCACGCTCCCGCCGACCCGTGGGTGACACCATTTGATCCCGGAGGGATCAATCATTCGATTTCAGCCAGTGATGTCTGGCTGAAATCAGATGATCGGTCCCTGTCCTATCCTGTCCTGTGTTGACATTTACACAGAACAGGATATGATGTCATTCTTCTCTGCCTGGACACATTCCGTTCCAGACAGAGAAGAAGACATCCAAACAGTGAGTAAAACAGCACATACCCACAGTTAGAACACACCTAGGACACATTTAACCCCCTGATCGCCCCCCCCCCCCCCAGTTAACCCCTTCACTGCCCTGTCACAAGTGTCACTGATCAGTGAACCGATTTTTACTGATCACTGTATCAGTGTCGCGCTGGCGACTTCCGATAGTGTTAGCGCCCCTCCCAGATAGCGCCAGATTGCCCGCCAGTACACCAGTAATCCCGTTTAACCTCTTGATCGCCCCCCGAGTTAACCCCTTCACTGCCCTGTCACCAGTGTCACTAATCAGTGAACCGATTTTTACTGATCACTGTATCAGTGTCACTGGCGACTTCCGATAGTGTTAGCGCCCCTCCCAGATAGCGCCAGTTTGCCCGCTAATGCACAGGATTTTTTTTTACCAAAAACATGTAGCAGAATACGCTTTGGCTTAAATTTATGACTAACTTTGAGTTTACGATATATTTTTTATAGCTGAAAGTAGAAAATATTGTTTTTTTTCAAAATTTTCATGATTTTTTTTGTTTATAGCGCAAAAAATAAAAAGCGCACAGGTGATCAAATACCACCATAAGAAAGCTCTATTTGTGTGAAAAAAAAGGATGTAAATTTCATTTGGGTACAGCATTGCATGACCGCGCAATTATCATTTGAATTAGTGCAGTGCTGTATAGCAAAAAAAGGCATAAATTACAGTATCTATACCATAGTTTGTAGACGCTATAACGTTCACACAAAGCAATCAATATACACTTATTGGGATTTTTTTTTACCAAAAACATGTAGCAGAATACATTTGGGATTAAATTTATGACTAACTTTGAGTTTACGATATATTTTTTATAGCTGAAAGTAGAAAATATAGTTTTTTTCCAAATTTTTGTGTTTTTTTTGTTTATAGCGCAAAAAATAAAAAGCGCACAGGTGATCAAATACCACCAAAAGAAAGCTCTATTTGTGTGAAAAAAAGGACGTAAATTTCGTTTGGGTACAGCATTGCATGACCGCGCAATTATCATTTGAATTAGTGCAGCGCCAAACAGCAAAAAAAGGCCTGGTCATTAAGGGGGGTAAATCCTCAGGAGCTCAAGTGGTTAAATCCCCTTTTTTCCCTATTCTGATGCTCAGTTTGCGAGTCATCTTCACCACATCTAAATGCATTGAATTGCTGCCATGTGATTGGCTGATTAGCAGTTTGTGTTACCAAGCAATTGAACAGGTGTACTGGTGTACAGGTGTACTGTATAAAGTGACCGGTCAGTGTTACATAGGGTGGTCTGCATGAAAATACAGTCTTCTTAGGCACGTCCACTCCTTCGGACTGATTTTCACCCATCAAGGCACTTTGATGTTTGCATAATTCCTCCCAAGAACCAACCCACTGCTTGCATCAGGGTGGTATGCTCTGTGCAAAGCATTCTGCCATTCCTTCCCACTAGCCATGATCTGCCTGAATTGCATATTGAAACACAGTGATCCAGTGATGACATCACTGGGTCTAAAATATAGAATGAAAATGCAAAGGTTTTATTTCAAAATGTCATTAGTATCTTGATGGAAGAGGCGTAATCAGAAACAGCAAAATATGAGCATATAAGGCTCCATGTACACTGCAGCTGATAAACTCACATTTAGGAGCTTTTCTGCATTTTTTTCAGCAGCCCCTGAACTCTCCCTAATGTTTTCCTATGTGTCCATGTACACTATGTCGTTTACAGGCAGTTGAGTTTACAGTCGTTTTTTTAACACACCAAACTTGTGTTCAGGAGTAGATTTTATCAGCCTTTCAAACGCCAAACGCTTGAAAACGCAGCTGACCGCGTTTATAAGCATTTGCATTTGGAATTTTTTTTTTAAACTCTTCCATTTCCAGATGCTGTCCAGAGCCTTTTTTCATCATGAAAGCATTTTCCCAGTGCTCAAATGGACCTGGTACACCATACTTTGAGGTTTCGCATGAAAGAAAATATGTTAGACACTGCTGCAATAATTTCTGCACAGAAATGAGCTGGAACACATCCAAACACCACAAGAAAAAAAAAGACAGCTAATCTCAACAAATACTACTCTCTCCCTCTCTTTCAAATTTTTACTATTTTTCAGTGCATTCTGGGCATTTTGGAAGGTCTCCTGAGGTTATCTTTAAAAACCGCTTCTAAACGCAAACGCAGCTAAACTGACATTTTTTTAACCTATATTTTCCAGCAGTCAGTTTCCATGGTTCAGAAGTGTAGGAGCCGTAAACTTCAGCTTAAATCTGTGAATTATGCCTCACATTTACATCTTTTGACACATCAACCCTTTGAATGTGACACAACAGAAAGAACATTTGCAGACTACTCCTGGTCATCTGGATCTGGAAAGGCAAAGATCATCTGGTAAACCAGCAGCAGGACAGGTGATTAGCGTGTCATCTCTCTCCAGGTGACATTCCTCATCCATCCAGCAGGGGGTTATGGACCAGGTAACACAGATGTTCAGCCATCCAGCAAAAGAACCATCACAATGACAGGAATGAGGCACCAGATAAAGGATCCACCCTGAAAGGGGGGGGGGGGGGGCTCGTAATAAAACGAGCCCAAACAAAAATCTTGATAGTGCAGTAGTTTCTAATTTATTAATGAATTCACAATGTATAATAAACTCACAGTATCAACAGTAGTAAAGATGGCCGCCAGCCTCCACGTGGGTCGAGCGGCGTGACGTCACTGGCTAGGCTCCACCCAACTGAGCATGTGAGACACTGGGTGAGACAGTGTATTACTGGATTTTATACAGCATAGACACTTATTTTTAATGTTTTACATAGCTATACCAGCAAAAGGGGTCAGCCTGAAGTGATCTAGCAGGACTTAATTTTCTGACTAAAGTTCCAGTTTACGGAATGTTGGATTCCTGAGTTGGAGTTCCTCTCTAGAATTATTTAGTTGTTTCCTTTTTTATAAAAAAAAAAAAAAAAGAATTATAATAAAACAAAATATTTCTCAAAAAGTTACTGA